CAAACTCTCTTTGCAGAACACCCAATCCCTCTTCCCTGCATCTCCCTCCTGCATAAACTGTTTTTCTTTTTCTCCTTGTAGCTGGAAATCAGCTCACAGACAATTTGAGGGCTATATATATATTTTTTTTTTTAATAATTACAGTCTGGCTCGATAACTCCAGTCTGACGCACGCGGGTTTTCGCATTATTTCCTTATCACTTCTCGCGTGTGTTTTGTTGTGAAACGTAGTTTGCGGACCAGACAGAATTGTCGGCGATTCTTCCTATTGTGAAGTCATGCAGTGTGAAACCTCCTGTCGCCGATCCATCGTGCAATGTGAACACAGCAGCAAATGAATGCTACCCCAGATAGTCACGCAGTGTGAAAACAACCGACGATCCGACGAGTTTGAAAATCGTGCAGTGTGAACTCGGCATTAGTCTGGAGCTGTGACAAACATCTTGTGCACAGCTATGGCATATGACTCAGCGCTGCCCACATGGCTGTTGCTCCTATAAAAAGCTAATTTTTATCAGTTATTTTGTCTTTGGGTTATATTTCTCACAGATTTCTGCTCGTTCTAAATCAGATAGAGATAAAGTAGCACAGTAAAGATTACAGTCATATGAATGCATTAGTGAGAGCGATTGCGTGTGTGAATTAATTATACCTGGCAACGTCTCTCTACTAGTAGTGAAGCTGTGGGATTTAGTTATTAAGAAATATGCGCTTGTATATTACTTTTCTGTTTAATATACTATATATTGTTAATATACTTTTCAGTTTCTAAGCTATTTTATTGAGAAATCACAGAACAGTCTTGACAATACATATCCACGCTGAATGATTCTGTGTGCGCGTGATCAGCGAGTGATGTATGAGCTACTGTCTGTAGCCTATGTGTGTGCGTTACAGTGCAGCAGCGCATTAGATTAGAACGGCGATTAACTTATCTGTACAATAAGCTGTTTAAAACGTGAATTCTCCCGTTCAATTTCAAGCATCCAGTAATATAATCACATATGTCTTGTGGAGCGCTTTCAGAGTATGCATTTATTTGTCATTTTAACTGTTCGGAAACAGAGCGTAAATGTGGAAGTCCTTCAAAGATTTCTTATCCTGTTGCGCCCTCTATAGGACCAGCGACTAGTCGACGTCAAGCTTAAAGCATCATGGCAGAGCATTGAGGTCGACTAGTCGATAAGTCAGTGGGCTTGTTTGAGATCAGCAAATTCTGCGCCGAATCGATCACCGGTGATCACCGCGAGATGCATGCCGGTTAGAAAAGTGTCCGAGTTACCTCTGACTTGCTCTGATGTAATGCTGACGTGTGCAAAAAAACTCTCACGACGGCGAGGCGGCTGTGTCGGATTGTGCAGTCGAGCACAGTTACTCACCACCGACTGCGCTGATCAAAAGCATGATGGGAAACGACTGACTGACGTCACAGCTTAATGCTCATTGGTTCAGACAACTGTGATGCTGCGTTCTCGTCTAAAATATTTAATTTTTATCTAATTTCATATGATTATGTATTTAAATGTATGCATGAATGTTCCCAAACACTATGACAGTGCGATCTCTGTGTGAGATATGTGATTGTTGTCATATTTCTATAAAAATCTAAAATACATGTTTGTATTAAAGTAAAAATGGATGATAAATACACCTTTCGTATGGAATTAAATAGCAAGCACTTTAAGTGTCTTGTTCATCATATTTATTTTCGTATAAAAGTATCAGAACTGAAATTATATCATGTTTATAAGCAACACAGCACGTAATTGGATTAAACAAAGAATATCTATTTTTCCAACTATTACTTGGGACATGTTGAAATTTGTTCTTTTGGAGGACAAAAGTGTAGACTTTGTAGTAAATAGTTTACTCCTCATATTAAAATACTTTATTCACAAATGTAAAGTTCTGAAAACAGCACCCCAGTTTAATGTCTTTAAAAAGGAGCTTGCCATGTATACAGCGGTCCTGAAAATGATGAGAAGTGATAAAGCAAAGAAATTATTTGATTTGTTTAATAAGTGTGATTTTTTTTAATCCCCTACATTGTTTATGGTTCATCTTATTTATTTTCATATAAAAACAACAGAGCTGAAATGATATCATGTTAATCAGCAGCACAGCACGAGTGAGAATAACGTGATATCTGTCTTTGATCTCGTTGGTATCTGTTCCACTTCGAGAGGGCAGAACTGTCCGTCTTGACTGCACTTATTTCACTCCTCCCCTCACTGCAGCCGCCTACTCTCACCAACATTTTAGGCAAGGCAAGGCGCATCTCAAACAAGCCTAGTGCAACCCCTAGTCTTTACTGTCACTTAAGCAATTTAAAGGGACAATATGTAAGATTTTTTTATTAAAATATCCAAAAACTATTAGAACAGTGTTATATATTTTGCTGACACTCAGTCCCGCAGTCATCAAACTACGCCTTTGTTTCTTTGTTTGTTTTGAATACGCGCCCTCTAGCGGCGTAAAATTACATATTGTGCCTTTAATGTGTCCTTTTTTTTCTTCTTTTTTAAAAAATCACAATGACCCCAAATGTTTTAAAGTAGGTTGTTTTAAAGGGGTGGTTGACTGTTTTTTTTATAGGCTTGATTGTGTTTATGGGGTGCAGTCTAACATGTGTTAATGCTTAGTTTGTTAAAAAACGCTTTATTTTTCACATAATTTACCTTTATTCCACACCTCTCTGTCCCTTCTCCTCTGAACGCGCTGATCATTTCCTGTTTTTAAGAAGCCCCTCCCTCAGAAATACACGATGGGCTCTGATTGATTAGCTGGCCCAGTGTGTTGTGATTGGCTAAACCGCCTCTAGCGTGCGTCTAAACATCCCGCCCCTCAACATAGCGGCATGTGCTCCGGTTGTATTGTACACAATGCCATCGTCTATATTGCTTATCAATTTGCGCCCGATTGAGACGCAGAGGATATTATCGAAGAGGATCGAAGAGCTTTTAATGGTAGGCCTAAGATTTTTTTTGTTGTTGTCTCATACTTTTAGATACGCTGTTATTTGTAAATGCTAC